TGCAGTGTTCTCAGTGACAATTTAGTTCAGGGTCAAGGACAGAACTTTTTATGTCTTTTATTTGTTTCTGTAATAAACAAAGGCTTCACAATTCTGAAGCTGTGAAACAGCCTTGAGGGTCTCAGTGTTTTTATCCAGATTTGACCATTTTAAGTACAGTACATTATTTTGGACCAGTCTGCTTTTGTACTTTTATTTGAGTACGATTTTGAATGCAAAACTTTTGCGAGTAGTTTTTACAACGTGGCAATTCTCTCCATTTTTCTTAAAGATCTGAATACCTCTTTCACAACTGCTGGGCAAAGTCGACAGTCGACACCGACAGTTTAAGTGTCGAAAGTGCGAGTCAGAAGCCCACTAAAAAACGCCCTAAAAAAAACGCTCGCCCAGCGTTCACTCACTGCGTTCCCAATCAGTTGAATAGTGTACACTCTGTACGGCTTCATTGATCCTCCGGACTGGAAAGAAGTGACCATGGAACTGACCGGAGAGCAGCTGAAAATGACTGAGACCCATCTGGAAAGATATTTACCTCGGTCACAACAGGTTTGTCCGAGCTAGTATAATAAATAATACAATCTATATAGCCTTTTGCAAGTCGATGACTTAATATTAGCCTATAATATATTGTTTGCTTGACAACACCTTTAAACATATTCACTGCCTCAATAAGTGATGCTGCCATTCTTTGGATTACAATGTAACTATTTCATTTTTAAAGTTCATGGTTGTCTGGTCCTCATAAACAGAGTCAGATCAGACCCTGTGAGGGTCTTTGCGGACAGATGCCCAGAGTTCAATGTCCTTGTCTGCAAATCCCAATATGGGCAGGTAACTACTTATCTATGTGTAAGATATGTATATACAGTTGTGTGAAAAAGTGTTTGCCCCCTTCCTGATTTCTTATTTTTTTGCATGTTTGTCACTTAAATGTTTCAGATCATCAAACAAATTTAAATATTAGACAAAGATAACACAAGTAAACACAAAATGCAGTTTTTAAATTAAGGTTTTTATTATTAAGGGGGAAAAAAAGTCCAAACCTACATGGCCCTGTGTGAAAAAGTGATTGCCCCCCCCCCTGTTAAAACATGAATTAACTGTGGTTTATCACATCTTTGGAAAGCTGAGTTCAATTTCTCTAGCCACACCCAGGCCTGATTACTGCCACACCTGTTCTCAATCAAGAAATCACTTAAATAGGACTTGCCTGACAAAGTGAGGTAGACCAAAAGATCCTCAAAAGCTAGACATCATGCTGCGATCCAAAGAAATTCAGGAACAAATGAGAAACAAAGTAATTGAGATCTATCAGTCTGGAAAAGGTTACAAAGCCATTTCTAAAGCTTTGGGACTCCAGCGAACCACAGTGAGAGCCATTATCCACAAATGGCGAAAACATGGAACAGTGGTGAACCTTCCCAGGAGTGGCCGGCCGACCAAAATTACCCCAAGAGCGCAGCGACGACTCATCCAAGAGGTCACAAAAGACCCCAGAACAACATCCAAAGAACTGCAGGCCTCACTTGCCTCAATTAAGGTCAGTGTTCATGACTCCACCATAAGAAAGAGACTGGGCAAAAATGGCCTGCATGGCAGAGATCCAAGACGAAAAACACTGCTGAGCAAAAAGAACATAAAGGCTCGTCTCAGTTTTGCCAGAAAACATCTTGATGATCCCCAAGACTTTTGGGAAAATACTCTGGACTGATGAGACAAAAGTTGAACTTTTTGGAAGGTGTATGTCCCATTACATCTGGCGTAAAAATAACACGGCATTTCAGAAAAGGAACATCATACCAACAGTAAAATATGGTGGTGGTAGTGTGATGGTCTGGGGCTGTTTTGCTGCTTCAGGACCTGGAAGACTTGCTGTGGTAAATGGAACCATAAATTCTGCTGTCTACCAAAAAATCCTGAAGGAGAATGTCCGGCCATCTGTTCGTGACCTCAAGCTGAAGCACACTTGGTTTCTGCAGCAGGACAATGATCACAATGACAAAACACACCAGCAAGTCCACCTCTGAATGGCTAAAGAAAAACAAAATGAAGACTTTGGAGTGGCCTAGTCAAAGTCCCGACCTGAATCCGATTGAGATGCTGTGGCATGACCTTAAAAAGGCGGTTCATGCTCGAAAACCCTCCAATGTGGCTGAATTACAACAATTCTGCAAAGATGAGTGGGCCAAAATTCCTCTACAGCGCTGTAAAAGACTCATTGCCAGTTATCGCAAACGCTTGATTGCAGTTATTGCTGCTAAGGGTGGCCCAACCAGTTATTAGGTTTAGGGGGCAATCACTTTTTCACACAGGGCCATGTAGGTTTGGATTTTTTTTCCCCCTTAATAATAAAAACCTTCATTTAAAAACTGCATTTTGTGTTTACTTGTGTTATCTTTGTCTAATATTTAAATTTGTTTGATCTGAAACATTTAAGTGTGACAAACATGCAAAAAAATAAGAAATCAGGAAGGGGGCAAACACTTTTTCACACAACTGTATATGTATCCGTATTTCTGCATATACAGCATCTTCACATCTCTCTTTTCTTGCAGAAGGGTGATCTCTTGAAGGACATAATGGTTTTTACAAAGGATGAATCTATTCTAGAGGCAACCATGAGGAAGTCCTCCGTTATTGACTGGACCCGGTACCTTTGCCTTGGTGACAGCAATAAGCTATTTTGCTCTTTTCATCGTCTCTTGAATAATAATCACAGCATTCATCTTTTATTCTCTTCTTTTCTTAGCACATTGATTTCATGGTGTAGCCCTATGAATGTTGAAAAACTATCACTGCACTTATGCACTGGTGTCTTTAGGGTATAAAACTAGCTTAAGAGTTTTATCATCTCATCTTTTATTGTGTTCAAAGTCCTCCCATCGATTCGTTATAGCATATCATGCAAACATTTTATGCCATATTCCTTCATCACAAGAAGTGCAAAGATCTGTGCCTTAGTGCCATTACATTATCTGAATGATTATACGGCCAAAGAGCTAGTAAAAATAAAACGGGTGAAGAAGAAAGAAGAAGATAGGGAGAGGTATTAAATCATGGTTAAGAGAACCGACATTGTTCTCAAACTTAATGCTCCTGCAGACACACCTGTATTTCATATCCTTTGTATGTTTTTTGTGTGTATGTGTTTGTTGATATATCTCTATTTATTTTTTATAAAGCCTTCTGTGGACAAGTGTTGTAAATAAGCATAAATATATATTACAGTTGTAATACTACTGTGATGTCCATATCAAAACTGAACTAAACTAAGATGTGAGATGTGATAACAGGGGATTCTTATCATAAGGGAATTGATGTAAAAACATACTCATTAACTGCTTCTTTAAAATAGCAGAGGGACCTGCTGTGACTCCCAGCTGGCCTGGGAACGCCTCGGGATCCCCCAGAATGAGCTGGAACATGTTGCCGGTGAGAGGGAGGTCTGGGTCAGCCTGCTTGGCCTGCTGCCACCGCGACCCGACCCCGGATAAGCGGAGGAAAATGGAAAAATGGAAATGGACCTGCTGTGACCTCTTTTTGTCTTCCTAATACATCAATATTTGCACATTTGTGGTTTCAAGACAAAGATGAAATCACTTCTGGTAGACTGAAATCTTTAATTCTGTATTTAAAAAAATTCTCAGAACTCAAAAGAAATACAAATACCAAATCAAGTTTCACACATTTATTAAAAGCATTTCCTTCATAACTTCTGTCCAAGGAATCAATCTTCGCCACATGGAGATAGTCAAGGCAGTGGCATCAGAAAAAGGCGTGTCCAGCAGTGTCAGTGTGTCACCTGATGATACTGGAGGACGTATCCAACCTGCCCTCTCTAGACAGGTAGGGCCGAGCTAGTGTCTAGTGTGTGACTAAATCATGATCTTAGGTTTAATAGTTCATTAATAAAACAGGACTCTGCTCTGTTCTGCATCAGCTCAGGGATCTCACTAAGCTCTCTGGATGAATCACACGTTGGCTTGGTGAATCAGACATGGAAGTTTGGAAAGAACGAGGACGCCGTCAGGATGATCTGGAACATGCTCGCAAACTTCCCCTCCTGCGGCGTGCTGGACGCAGAAGGAAAGCCCGCATCCTGGATCCTGACCTACGCGTCGTGTGCGATGGGCATGTTGTACACTCTGCCAGAGCACAGAGGGAAAGGCTACGCCAAAGTCCTGATCAGCGTCATGGCCAAGAGACTCCACACTGAGGGGTACCCAGTGTACGGCTTCGTAGAGGAGGAGAACGAGGTCTCCCACAGGCTCTTTAAAAGCCTGGGCTTTGTTGAGGACCCCTCATACAGGGAAGCCTGGTTTGAATTCAATGATTTTTAAATACCTCAAACAAGGCCTCTAAAATGATAAGTTGCTCCCGGTGTAGAAAAGGGGAAAGAAATTAGGGTTTAGGGTTGTATCCTCCTACTGCATGGGAGCTTGTTATATTTTCACTTCAGGTTCAGTTGCCTTAAACTGAAGTGACCTGCGCTTCATGGACATTCCCTTGCAGACCTCCCTTCAAACATCTCATCTCTTTTGCTCAAAAGCACTTGATGCATGACTGGATCTGAAATGAAAATTTAAAAAATCTTAATGTCAATTGTGTACATATTTATTACTTTATGATTAAAAAAAAACATATTAATGGACAATTATGTTCTCATGTAAATACTGCATCACTACATAACCTGTTTACTTTACAGTTGATACATTCTACTATTACTAACCAGGCTATTTTATTCATCTATCTTAGCTGCTGCACCACTTCATTTCTTAGATTCTACTTAGATTTGTTGTTTTTTGGCGTGATTTGTCTCTATAGCTATCTTTGTCTATTATTATCTGTAAGAGCACAGTTGGAGGGAGCATGAGATCTAAGACGTTCATTGTCAACGACTGCCTCTCTGTAACTGTTAATAGTATATAAACAGTTTTTATTGTTATACATGTTATAACAGTAAAAGATCAGGAGCGTGACATTTTATTATCCAGACTGCTCTGGTGCTAGGAGTAACTCAAATTAAAAGTTGTGACAGAGCTACAGGTAATGCCAATACTCCTTATTGATTATTTTTTAATAACAACATAATCAAATCGTATTAATGCAATTATTTCTGAATTAAATCCATGATTCATTAAAAACAAAGTGGAATTGAAAACGTTTTTTCAAGGGATTGAAAAACCTGCTCAGTGGTTTACCTTTGTTCTGTGAACTCTTCGAGACGAATCAACCAAGTTGTCCAGTACTTCAACATCAGCTCTGAGCTCAGCCGATGAACATGGGCCGGTGAGCCATCCTTGTAGGCTACTACAATGAGTCCATTTTCAACCTGAGAAGAAACAAGTGGGGTATGACGTTTTGTGTGACACACTTTAGCAGACCCACAATAATTAGAAAGATTAAATGTGTTTGCTATTATGTCATTTATGTTTTAAGTACAGAATCTGAGAGATGGGTGAACAATCTGGGTGAAAAGCTGAGAAATAAAAGATGACCACATCGTTTATCTCGGTAGATCACCTGGTATTTGTAGTTGCCGTCATTGTTCAACGCTCCGGCATAGGCTGCCACCTGAACAGGGTTGTCATATGTGTTGCTCAGGAATGGTTTCGGCTTCTCTGAAGTCTTCCAGTCAATAACACATAGTACGCCTCTGCAGACAAAAATGTGCCGTCAAGTCAAGTCAGGTATAGAAACAGTAGAGCCCACCGTTGTCTGCAAACCACAATATTTACCTGTAGCGAGCAACACAATCCACAATTCCCAGATAGTTCAGCATGTCGTGATGCACAGTGCTTTCAGTGGCTCTCACTGCTCCGACATCCTCCAGCACGTGAGAGATGCTCTCCATGTATCCCTGCACCTCAGGTGGATACTCTGAAGACTCCGGAGGATTTCTGTTCTTCCAAGTTGCACCTGACACCAGGATGTCCTCCACAGCTGAATGGAAGAGCCTCCCTTGCCTAAATAATTCTGGTTGAAAACAGCATCCTTCGGTCACTTTTCAGTTTGTCCTGCCTCTACAGACCCCACATCTAAGCTACCACACCACACATACTTCAGTAGCAGCTTACATTGAGGTTACAAAACTTACTCTGACTGTATTCTTTGAAGCCTTCCTCTCCGAGCTCTGCGATCATCCTCCTCTTCCACCTCTCCAGGTAGAAGATCTGGTCCGGGGAGAGCGTCTGCTGAAGAATGCGGGTCACACTCGGAACGGAAGACCTGCCCGCCCGGTTTAACAAAATCCGGACTGGAGGCCCTGACTCTGGCTCTTCCGCTTGTAGAGTCTCTTGGAAGTGTAAGAAGGGGTGCAAGGTTTTGGGTACCCTCACCTCTGGTCTTGAGGAGGGCGTTGGAGCTTTGACAACAGGTCCATAAACGTGTTCGTCCTCCGTTTGGAGTGTCTCGGGTGTTTGGGAACTGACCCTGGATGACATGACAGACTTCACAAGAGAAGAGTAGCGCTCACTGTCCACTGCGCTGTACGGACTGTTTCTCTTTGGGGATCTTACGCAACGGTATGCAGAGAAATTGCTCACAGAGAGGGCGGTGCATTGGGGGACAATGGTACCTCCAACGCACACCACGCGTTTAAGAATGAACATTGTAACCACTTCACAGAACCAGAACACTATAACTTAGTAGTTAACTAACTACATAAAGCCTACGTGCAGTGGTTTTAACGGTACGTTTAAGAATATTCCCTTCATTTTGGTGACGGTACTTGCCCCAACATGTTCCAGAGCAACTCATCCAAACAAACGCCACTGTTTCCATACGACGCGCCTCTCCGGCCGCACACACTTCCGTAGAAAGGACATGAAGTTCCGGGGAAAGGATAGCAACTACATTACCCACAATGCGTAGAGTGTCATTGAGCCCGTGGTGCTGTCAATGGGTGGTACTCATGTTATTTACTTTCATTTACTTTTAAGCTTACCACGTCTCATCTATCCGTTACTTAATGATAACAAAATGCGATATTCATTAAAAAAAAAAAAGTTATAAAGCATTGATATAAAACCACATGAACAGAGACTTGAAGGGTGGTATATGAGTGATTCGGTTGAAAGCAAATCGTAGTGTTTGAAAAGTCGATGTTGTCCAATCAAATTGCCTTTAAGGCGGGCTTTAACTGTCATCATCGGGAGGGTTTGACAGTTCGTCAGGCATCGAGCAGCAGGGGCAGAGCTTCCTGCAGATAGTTTTGTTATTTGGGTTGCTGGCCTGTTCTTTCTGTTCCGTCGATTTCAGTCTCATCATGACGTCCACCATAGACGAAAGCAATAAGGAAAAGGTGAGTTAAATGTGTCTGCATGTACATGGCAGTACAAGTCAGCCCTGGTAGCATTAAGGCAACTATTAGCTGACATTAGCGGTTGCTCTCTGGCTAAGTTATTGCCGCTAACTTGTGTTGTTTTCTGTGTACATAACGCTAGCCGCTGGCTAAAGCTAGCAAACGTGTTATCGATTAATCTAACGAGAAGTGGGTTGCGTTACACCAGTGGTGTCAAACTGCATTTATGCAGTAAAAAAAGTGTTCTTTGTTATGGTAAATGTACAACAGTGAAGGCAATGGTTTCCTTACAACACAGAGAAAAGTAAAATACGTTACTCTGTGTGGCATTAAGTTTTATTTTTCTTCTACGTTTATTATACGTTAAAATTATTTAGCATTCTTACTATCAAAATAACTTTATCAATGGGGTAATACTACACAGCTACACCCTCTGAAATGTCCATTAAGTTGAATAAACACCTCTCTAAAACAGTTACAAAAACACAGAACATTGTATCCTCTGCAATGGGTGTCCCTAATAAATTGACAACTGAGTATAAGGTTTGTGTGTGTATATGCATTCGTTAGTAAGAGAGTAAATAGTGAAGACTGTTCATTCTTTATGCCATAATGTAACGGATGAACAAGGCTGACAAACTAGTCCTTAAGCCAAAGCAAGACTGGAGTCTGTACATACTATTGGATCCAAAACTAACTGCTTCCAGACCTTTTACCAAACACCCCTCAGACACTTCTATCTCTAAACTCATGGAAGAATGATTTCTAAGGGCCGTTATGCAATGTTGCAACAGTTATGAGCTGTTTATTGATGTCCTTGCTACAGGCAGTCCCACTTTTCCAAGCTTAAATCCTCAGTAGCCAACAGAAACGTCAACGAGGCAACACTATAGATAAACTGTCAAATCGAACCGAAGTAAAATGAATCGACTGGCTTTTATGATATTGTTCAAAATGATGATCAGATGAGAGACCTGTTGGATATTTTTCGAAAGCCAGATTTGAAACAAAGTGACCACAAGCACAATAAAAATGCATTTGTACATGACAAATGATGTTTTTTGATCAGCCAGTTACATTTTTTTGGTAACTTTGGTCTATTCTTTCTCCTTAGATGCGCTCTGTGTCTGTAGATCTAAACCATGATGCCTCTCTTCTCATTGACATTCCTGATGCACTCTGTGAAAGGGACAAAGTCAAGTTTACTGTCCATACAAAGGTAAAGAAAGAAATGTTTGTATTCCAACACATAACTCAACCACTACCCGTAAAAGCATTCTATAAGGGTAGTTGCTGATATGTTGTTTTCTTAACGAAAATACTATTGAATTATGTTTGTTCCCAGACCACACTTAGCTCTTTTCAGAAGCCAGACTTCTCCGTTCCCAGGCAGCATGAAGACTTCATCTGGCTACACGACACTCTGGTTGAGACAGAGGACTATGCCGGCCTAATTGTAAGTTGGACTTATAAAGATCATTTAACCTGTCATAAATCTTAAGTCATTTTTTATTTCCTGCTTTATCATTCATAGATTCCTCCAGTGCCCCCAAAGCCTGACTTTGAGAGCCCAAGAGAGAAGATGCACAAACTGGGGGAAGGTGAAGCCACTATGACGAAGGAGGAGTACACTAAAATGAAGCAGGAGTTGGAGGCGTGAGTGTGACACTCAACCAAAGCAACATATGTGCATTGTATTCTATAGACGGTGTCGAGTTAGAGCCTTTGAAAAAAACATCTTGCTCTATCTGTTTTATTTTATTTTCAGTGAGTACCTGGCCGTGTTCAAGAAAACTGTCCAAGTGCACGAAGTCTTCCTGCAGAGATTGTCCTCTCACCCCATTTTATGCAAAGACAGAAACTTCCAGATTTTCTTAGAGTATGACCAGGATGTGAGTTCCCCGTTATGCTGACTTCCTTTCCCGAGTTGTCAGTTGGAAAAGAGGAAGTAGAGTTTACTGGAGACCTGTGACACATGGCTTACATCCTGCTGTGATCAGCAGTTATCTATGCATTCTTTGTCAGTCAGTGGCTGTGTTGTTTGTTAACATAAGATTTAAAGTCTTTATTTAAGGAAGATGTAGTGTGATAAAAGAACATAGGCCACATGTTTTTATGGACTATATTGTGATACAATACAAAAACAAGGAAGTATTGGTAAAATCACAAACATTACTTCCCTACTTAGTTTCCACAACAACATATAATGCGTTTTAATAAATATATCACATTCCACTCATAGGTTTTACATGTATCCTGTCTAAATTCTGTCATTTTAGCTGACTGTGAGAAGAAAGAATGCCAAGGAAATGTTTGGTGGATTCTTTAAAAACATGGTGAAGTCAGCTGATGAGGTCCTTATCTCAGGAATAAAGGTGAGGCTCGTGCGTGATCCACTTACATTATACTCGTCTTTACAGTCACAATGTTGTAGCCACTTCCCCCCCCCCCAGTTACCTTTGTCTGTTTGTGTCCTACACAGGAAGTGGATGATTTTTTTGAGCAGGAGAAGACATTCTTGCTTGACTACTACAGCAAGATAAAAGATTCCACTGCCAAAGCAGAGAAAATGACACGCTCGCACAAAAGTACTACAGGGTTTTTACACGACTACTTTGTTGCTGATTTTGAGTTTAGTAGAATAAATTAATTTATATTTGGAATTTGTTTAGTTTTGATTGCTAATTTCTGTTCTTACAGATATTGCGGATGACTACATCCACATCTCTGCCACTCTGAACAGTCTCTCTGCTGATGACAGCACAGCAAATAAAAAGTGAGATTAATATATCATTTAATGTTTTTCATGCCAGGACATACTTTGTGCAGAGTTTTCCATGTTATGGCTTTACTTTTCTTTCCTCAGGCACCTGGAGAAGATGGCAGACCTGTTTGAGAAGCTCAGAGTAAGTAAAACTTCAATTACCAACACAGCTTTGTCGATATTAGTTCTGATGAGTACACGCATACATGTCTTTATTTGTGTTCCTGCAGAAAGTAGAGGGAAGAGTAGCATCTGACCAGGAGCTGAAACTCACAGAGCTGCTCAGATATTACATGAGAGACATCCAGGCTGCCAAGGTGAGAAATGTTTATCTTCTGCCTCAATGTGACCCGTTCCACCCAGGCAGAACAATACTTATTGAACTATCAAACGCTCACTGCAACAAACAAACAAACATGGCTTTGATAATCTACATATTTCAGCAGCAAGGCAGCTGTTTTCCAGTCAGCATGGGATCAGAGATGTTTATATTTGTTGTATTCAGCACAAGGACTAATTACAAATTTAAATATTTGCATTTGAGGAGCAGCACGAAACCATGTTATACAGAAAAGAAGTGCGTGTATTCTTGATAATTATTATTTTCTGTCCAGTACATCTTCTGTTAAAATCTTGCAAAAATGAAATTACCTTTTTCGAATTATTGGACATTGAGCGCAATGTATTGCTATATATTTTCCAAATGAAGGCCAGCTCTCTCTGTCTCTGTGTGTGTGTTCTTTTATTTCTCATGTTTTAAACAATCTGGAACATGTCAGGACCTTCTGTACAGGCGAGCTCGGGCATTGGTTGACTACGAGAACTCTAACAAGGCTTTGGATAAGGCTCGACTGAAGAGCAAGGACATTCCCCAGGCAGAGGAGCACCAGAAGCAGTGCCTGCAGAAATTTGACAAGCTCTCGGAGTCTGGGAAGAAAGGTTTGTGCATCCGTGCTGTACTTGCTGCCTTGTGTGTAAAATGGTATGCGCTGTGCGAGCCCTTTTTTTAACCGGACACTGTTATCCTCACAGAACTCACCAGTTTCAAGGGCAGACGCGTTGTGGCCTTCAGAAAGAACCTCATAGAGATGGCCGAGCTAGAGATAAAACATGCCAAGGTGAGCAGCACAATACAGCCGACCGACTTTTACACACATACGCATCGTGTCTTTAATATGTAGATTTGATGATCAATTACCATTACACAGCCATAGTGTGATTAATTAATCTCACTTGTACCTGCAAACATCATCAGTGATATCTCACTCATCATCAAATGTTAGAAAGATAATACATATAAAAATAATAATATTACAAATAATATAAAATGAATGATAAAACAGAGAATACTAAATCAGTTGTGTACCTGGTTAGCACTGGTTTAGCTTGAATTCAATAGTTAGTCATTTGGAGAATACTGAAACTAACACAAATGGCAAGGTGTGGTTAGGAACCTCACCACATTTTACCAGTGTGTCACTGGAAGTTGTAAACATTGGATCATTTAGACATTAAGTTTAAAGGTGTCAAATTCCAAATTCAGAGCATATCTATGTTGAGGGATTGCCTTCAAACGGCTCTACACATTGCAAGAACTGAGCCGGTGGCTATATCAGCTAACAGTGCTTACAGCAAAAAACGTGCAATGATGAGAAGTAAAAGCTAAGTGGTTGTTGCATTGCGAAATCAGCAGGTAGCAGCAGAGCTACGCCTCTGTTATTTTGGCCTGAAGGGAACAACTGTATTATCCAAGTACACCAGTAACATGCGCCTACAAAGTAATGCGCAAAACTAACTTTCTTTCTATTCTACTGTCATATATTTAATGCCTCTATTGCAATACCCTGTGTTGAACAATGAAAGAATATTATAAATATGCATACTATTAAATAACTATTTACTGACTTACTCATTTCAAATTTAGCACCTTTAACACACCTCTGGTTTCTTCTTGGTGCACTTAATCATTTACAAATCTCTTCACATCGAGTCAATAAACTTGCCCTTGAGTGCTCAAAGAGACAAAACTATCAATCTCCAAAATAAAAGAGTTTTCAATTGGAACAAGAACAGTTCGTCTGTTTTGTGAGATTGCCTTGAAGTACCCACTTTGATTATATCGCCCAGCAAGCTTATTGGATTTCCTCAAAATATGTTGTTTACACTTGCAAATGCAGATTGTTACTGGGATAGAAGCGTGCATTTATATGCTTTATTTGGTGACATGTTAGATGACAGACTTCTTCAGGAGTATCAATACTGTTTTCTCCTCTGTCCACAGAACAACGTGACTCTATTGCAGGGATGCATGGACCTGCTCAAGAGCATCTGACAAGTATTTGAGTGTTTCTGTCCTACCATCACCAAGTGACCAGTCATAGCAAATGGAAACCTGTCGTCCCCGGGGCCTTGCATGGACACGTATCCAAGCCCTATCTTTGCTCCCACCCACGGGTCTGATGCCACTTTAAAACCCTGCACGAGACCGAGTGTCTTGTAAGCAGAATGTCTTCATGTTTACAGTCCCTGTCCTCTGGTCCGTGGTCCATCCTTTTCCATTATTTATGGAAGTCTTGGAGAATGATGCTGCCAACATTAAGGTCTTCCATTCCTTTGCAGCACTAATAGAGGTGAATAATTTTTTCCTAATTTCTTGTTTTCTAATTGTTACACTCTGCACATATGCCTTTTTCCTCATATTCTGCCTCCATAAATTTAAACTCAAAGCTCTTCTCTCGTGTACACTTTTAAATACTTTTTTTTTTTTTTTTTTTTAAGGGTTGGAGCATATTGTTTGCATAGCTATAACCTCAGTTTTATGCTTCATATGATTTTGGGGCTTTTTTGTTTGGTAATGGAACAGTTTTACAGAAGCAAAACTAGTGCTTGGGGGGGGGAAATAAACATCTTGATGATCTGCATTCTTGGGCTCTGAGATTAGAGTAGTACCAAACCAACCCTAAGAAAAACTCATGACTGACTTATGAGACGAGACCAATCCGCCAACATCAAGTGTTCTAAAATAGCTGTACTTCACCTCAGGAATGGACAGTTGCATCAGTCCCAACATTCTTGTTTATAAGACGTGGCCTCAGCTGCCACAGTTATGAAAGATGCACATTTGTTTTGCAAATATTGATGAATCAGAAGATTTCAGCTTGAGATTGGTGAGAAAAACAAGTCAAACGGTAGGCTAACCGAGCATCTAGCATTTTTATCAATGCAAAATCAACCTTAGTAATGACTCTGAATCTGCATTTAGCTGTAATTTACCCAATTCATGCGTAATACCCCTCCACTTCATGTACCATGTCTTCAGCTGCTCCCAACCAACTCTACCCATTCATTTTCTGTGCGTAATTATTGTTGTTTTTCTTTATTTTGCTCTAAATTCCCCTTTTGTTATTAATGGGGTCTCATGAATCAGGCCTGATATATTTACCAGATCCTCGACACATTTTGTTTATTTAAAGAATTTATAGAAAGATGCACTAAGAAAATAAAAGGAAAACACTCTGCAATCATGACCAGGCTCAGTGGAGTGTTAAAATGCATTATAGTTTTTTAAGAAATTGAATGTATTTCTAATGGATTCCAACTGTGTGAATTCCTTTACATTGTGTTTTCTTACAGAACATTAGCCTTTTTTATACATTTGTAACTGGCATTGAATAAATCCTACTTTCCCAAGATTGATTTGTACCATTCTGTATTTCTTTTGAGGGTGTATGGCTTATTTTGAAGCAACAATACAACACGTTTTCTGTGGTATGAAAATTTAAGTCTGTACTTTAAAGAGTGCCCTATCATACCACTAGGTGGCGATATCTATCTATCCATCCGCGGCATCCTCTTTCCATTAGGTTTTCGTGTGTGGGACTTTGAATTCCAACATAGCTGTAAGCACAAAAGTTTGTGTTAAATCCATTGACTACAGTGGATCCTGTGAAGGGACTGTCTGGTGTATTAGGTACGCTATGAGGAAATGCCAGAGTGCTCATGGGAATCACCACCACTACCAGAGTGCACATTTCAAGTACTACTTCAGTCGCACTAAGCTACATGACCGAAACAAGTAATCTGCAGTAACACTACAGCTCTAAAGATATTTATATAAAGACAGGTAGCACTTGCAACAAACTGGCATGCTTACAGAACTGTTTTTAAGCAATTATTTGTGTTGCATTACTCGCACGATGTGAAAGGTTACACCTGAATGAGACGTGGACTAGGGAATGATCCCGTGCATGGACAGAATATACGGTAAACTGCCCGTGATGGATTAGTCAATATTGACATCACTAATAGTGCAGTCACGGTGAACTTGTTTGGTCGATTCACTGATTGGATGAAACCACAGACGAGGGCCAATGAGATTATAACACATTATCAGTGCCAACTGATAACGTGTGCCGACTGGGATCAGAGCAAACAGTATGTGAAGGCCTGACATAGAAATATTGCTATGATGGAACCAAAGCCTCTTTAAGGCCCAGACATTAAGATGATGCATCTGTTTTAAGGGGCCACGGTCGGGTAGTTACTTGTAGAGAGCTTATTTCATTTCACTGTCTGAGAATGTGCAGTTACTGATCCGAGTATATCAGCGTGAAACAGAAGTATCGGCGCTAAATTTAGTCCGTTTCATGTTCCGTTTGCATAGCTGCTGTCTTATTACGATAAAGAATTCCCTCCGTTCTTGTTCTAATAGCAGAAAGAAAACTTCTGAAGCAATAGTGTAATATGTGTCTGCCCTGGAGTAAAGGAACTAATCTGCCTGCTTCAAAGATTTATTTTGCTGACTATGAATTTCCTTATCTCCCCTTGGGGGAGATAATTTGCCAGCTCTAAACGTATGATAAAGCTTACGATTTTGCACATTTTCAGAGCTTTTGGAGACATAATCAGTGATTGGCCGTTAATTAATTCAGCTCCATCTTGATGATCCCAAATCTTTTAGAATCTTCAGTCACACACACAATTAGACTATCAGGCCTAGGAATTTGAGCACGCATAATGGAAAGCGTAAACCAAAAGGACAGAGCAAATAATAGGGGAAAAAGTCGTGAGTTCAGATGTACGATTTCATGTTGTCATGTCAGGAAATACAGGTGTTTTTGAGGCTTTTACCACTTTGGCTGAGGTCATGGATAGGTGAACTGTAAAGAACCAACATCTTACTTACGCTGACTGAGCCTGTGAAAGCACCTGCCTCATGCCCCACAGCTCTACAGTGCTCAACTGAAAAGTCATAATGAATGCAGACAGAAGGATTCATGAAGCATGAAGGCCTCCTCAAATAGAAACCGTGTCCTCTGAAGGGACACACTTTTTAAAAAAAAGTGCACCTGCAGGGCTTTCTGACATAACTGAACTGTCTGCGTTTCCTTAATGAAAGAGAACATGATACCTCTTCCTGGAGCCCATCAGATAAAGTGTAGACACAGCTACGGATTTCTTCAATCCTTTTTCCCCTACCTGTCTACCTCCTAAATTGCATCATATACAGTAAGAGTAAAGGCAGACCTCCAACTCTCAGGCTGTGAGCTCATACTCTATAGCTCTCTGATGTCACCCCTCCAGCCTCGAGACCCACAGCTTTCTCATGTTTGTGTGTTCCATTTTGGAACTTATGTGTTGACAATTTACATAATACTGAAGAAAAGGACATCATTCTTTCTGCTTCTCAGAGAATATCTCAATACTTTTGTGTAGACCATCTGCAGGACAAGTATTTTCTTCCTTCAATAATGCAATTCTGTCATTAACACAACGCTGCTCGAACAGCTCAAAGGCCCAGAGGCCAAACCTTTTCGAGGTTAGTGTGCCCTGCCCTGTTCAGGCAGTCTTTTGCTTTCATGCACACAATACAAACAATCTCAAATTCTAAATAATTGACATGCATGGACCAACAACATGTACTAAATCATGTCACACACAACAGAAACACTTTGAGCGGGATTAATCATTAATATTTCACAACTCTTCTTGCAATGCTGTTTAGTAAGTATAGGGCTAGCTATCGTCTTGATTATCACAATATACAAATACTGCAGCGAGATGGAGCCTAACGAGCAAATTTGCTGAGATTTTGATAGCTGGCACAATGCAGAGTCGGTGTGAGAAAAGGGAGTGAAAATACCACACATCAGTTACAGCAACAATGCAAAGTGAAGGCAGTATCACTGACGTGCATCAGATGAAAACAATAGCTGTACTTTTTTTAGAAACCAGTGGCCAGGTATCGAGTTGTATTGGTTTGTAACTAATAAGACCGTTGGTACAAGTGGGTTTAACAAACAAGAACTGATCTGACCCAGGACACCAGCTGAATATCCTTATTATGTTGTAGGATAGAAAACAAGCAGCAATCCAAAGGTGTCAAGGAACATGGTTGAGTAGAACTATGTTATTCACACTGTTGGGTATATTGTTATGTACTGTATTATGTTCTTTTCTCTTTATTAAGTATTGTGAGTTGTTTTTTACAATACAATTTGTTGACGAGGACAATCTGTGAGTGTGACTAGGCTGGAGCAACAAGCGTGTCCCCTTAGCAAACTGTTTTACTAAGCAGCTTGAGGAGGATGTAGTATGCCTTTGAAAACACTTTAAATGAGTGACCAGGGTAGGTCCACATTTCATTGTCATCTTAATTATGACGTACAAAGGCACACAACGCCTTCAAATTGTTTTAAAGTGTTGGGCATTCAAATAATAAAGGGTGTGGGAAACAAAACATCCAAGAAGGACTGTCAGTCACTTGTGCTAACAATGTTACTCAGGCGTGGCTAATGATAATCCTTTCTGGAAAGCCTGTTTCCTTGTTTGAGGTTTACTTCTTGACGTGAAATGATGCTCTGGTCTATCGAGAAGTGGAAAATAAAGATAGTGGGTTTCTATAGTTGTAGCAGGCTATTTATGCATCAGAGATAAAGGATAGTTTTGTTCAAACCCACAGGACTCTATTATAAATTCAATATACCAAACTTCCCAAAGAAGTGTGGGGCTGGATTTCCATATGGAAACAAATTTCCATATGGCAACAAAACATCTTAGGCTTTTGTTTCAGTATAAACATCATATAGCTTCATAGAAGAGCTAGAACAGAAGAAGCTGATACATTATGCATAAATGATACCGACAGACTAGATTTGGAACGAAATGATTTTAGGAAACTCGAGGTTTATGCAAACAAATCTATTAATGCTACGCAGTGTTCTCTTTAAAAGGCATCAAGTATAACCTCTCTCAAAAATAGCAAAGATGAAGGTCGGGACCCTACTTGAGCACTTTTCTTGAGTAGACGACGCTAGAATACACTTTAAACGAGCCTTTTGTTTGACTGAAAACGGCCCCACTACATGAGTCTTTGCATACACAGAGAAGACTATGAATCCCAGCATGCTCATTTCCGGCTTGAGTGCAGTCCAGCCAATCAGAAGCGCTCTGGATTCATGGCAGCTGTATGGGGAACGGGGCCAGCACGTCTAGCCAGCTCGAAGTGCCACGACTTCACAGTAGACCACGGATTCTCCAGCGGAGTGAGGGGAAGAGCATTGGGGAAAAAAAAAAAAAAGCTAGTTAGCTAGATAAACAGGTAGCCTTTACACACAGAAGTCATTTCAGCTGACGGTTACAAGTCAAAGCATTCGCCCTCTCTCCCTTCATTTGAAGCAAGCAGACGCAGCTACACCAGCAGCGAGGTAAGTGAGGGAGTCTTGGAATGTTTCTATTTATTTGAGCCAGCATCAGCTAGCTTGGGAAGCTATCTACTGCTAACTCCTGAGCTAACAACTAATACTGAGAGACAACCGGTTAAAGTTGACTGAAATAATCTTAGAGTTTCCCCCCTCACTAGCTATTTAATTTACAATTTTATTATATCCACTGGGGCACAATTGTGTAACGTAAACCGACACTGATGTGGAGGACCATAGCCAAGTTCATTGATTCATAGTGTTAGCTACAATGCTAGCTTATGAGTAGTGATTCAAAGCGTTTCACTTATAAACAATTACCGGATTGCTCACACTCCTTCTTGTTTTAATGTATGTTTGAATGGATAACTACGTAGTGTGTCTTAAAGTGTCATACATCTTGGAGGCTTTCATAGTAGTTGTCTCAGTATTGTAATCTTAGCATGAGTTTATTGATTTTTAATAAACTAGCTGGGAAGTTCGTGGAAGTCGATGCGTCTTGCAATAAAGTAACATATTAAAGTGTAAACGTTTATGTTCAGTTTGCACGTATATATCTCATGCTTACAGTACATCAAATGTACCGTCTTGAAAATATGTGCGTTTACATATTTTACCTTCATTGCTAAAATAAAGTTCAGACTTTTCCATGTACTAGTGCACCTGAAGGTATTTTAGTATGTAACGGTTACACACTAGTACGTTTGATCGTATAGTCCTATCTCTGGAGAGGCATCTTCATCCTCAGAAAGTCTCCGAGTCGTTTTTCTTGAAGTCGTAATTCTCCGTTGAGTGCGAGTGGAGAAGCAGTGACGTGTGACATCACAGATAAGGAGGCAGTACACCCTCTGGACTCTAGACTCTGGCAGCTCAGCACTTTTACTCTACTGTGTCACAATGTTAGGTTTTCTTTTTCTTTTTACAGTAAAGCTCCACATTCACTTTTTTTTTTTTTTTGCTTTTATATATTTTCCGATGGGATAACATCTCGATCCGTAATATAAACACGGTTGTGACTAATAATGCTGCCGGAATAAATCAAAGAAGGGGTTGTAATGAAGCTAAGCTGCTGTCAGCCAAAAACCACCCCCTGCAGGTTAACCATTGTGGTTTGTGACAGGGGCCTTAAAGGGATAGCTGGAAGATACTTAAGTTTATTTTCTTTTTACAGGGCAGGAAATTAACACTAACCGCCAGCCAACTGCTGGGAATTGTCTGAATCTCTTTTTGCCTCTGTGGTCTGGATTTAGTTTCCTGCCTTAAATTTATATTTAGGTTGGTTTAAATTATAAATAGCTGATTTGTCTTAAGCCCACATTTACACTGAAGTCCATAATAGCTCTGATAAATTTAGCAGATTTTGAGTATTTTTTTGTAATAGTTGTTACACAGGATCAACGATTTTTAGGAGGAACATTTACAGAAATGGCAGGTATGATGATGTTTAAAACTGAACACGCATCTTTTACCCAAGGTGGAAGACTGTATGACAAGTGGGTTTTGAGCAGCTGTTTGTCAGTGTGCTTATGAGATTGGCTGGTCTGCATTATGTAGTCGGCCTCAAGGCAAAAGTTTATGGGGATAATAGTGACACCTTGAGGCCTTTGACGGGAAAGGCTATGGTCGTTCTCAAGAAAGCCCCTTTCACATCACTACTCTTCTATTACAGCTGCTGTCAGTTCAGTTTAATTTTGACGAGGCACATAGAAATACTGTTGGTGGTATTACAGTTTTGACTTACCTATGAATTACTTTGTTCTTTTTTTCTCCACTTGTTAGAAATCCCAAATATTATTTACTAGTTGTTTACTGTATTGACAAGTCTGCCACTTTCTTTTTAGGTCAACTGGAATTGAACGATGGATATCTATGACCCCCAGACCCTTGGGATAATGGTGTTTGGTGGATTCATGGTGATCTCTGCCCTCGGGATCGCTCTTGTCTCTACCTTCTCCATGAAGGAGACCTCTTATGAGGAAGCCCTGGCTAAACAACGCAGTCAGCTGGGTAAGATACAGTCCACTCGCTCTGACAAAAAGAAGAAGGACAAAGTATCTGAGAAGAAGGGCCGTGGCAAGAAGAAAGAGGAAAAGCCCAATGGAAAAATCCCAGAGCCTGAAAAAGTTGAAGAGGAAGTTGAAGATGACTCAGTCATTGAGCCTGCTGCCGCCCCAGTTGTAGCTGCTGCCCCTGAACCTGAACCTGAACCTGTCCCTGATATTGAAGTTGAGCCAACTGCAGCCCCAGCACCAGCAAACGCCGAGCTAAAGATTGCTGCTGAACCAAGCCCTGCCCTGAGTGAGCCCTCACCTGCACCCTCACCAAAAGGGAAAAAGAAGAAGAAGGTGGCTAAGGTCGAGCCAGCCTCTTCCCAAACAGCTCCACTCGTGGTTGCCTCTGCAACCGTCAAGTCCTCCTCAGTACCTACCACAACCCAGGCCCCCATGTCTGCCCCGACTAAAGCAACCGCTCCATCCTCTGCCACCGCCAAGTCTGCCCCTGCCACCGCCAAGTCTGCCCCTGCCACCGCCAAGTCTGCCCCTGCCACCGCCAAGTCTGCCCCTGCCACCGCCAAGTCTGCCCCTGCAGCCCCAGCCAAGACTGCCCCAGTGCTGGAAGCTGTTACTAAAGATGTCCCAGTGATGGCAGTGCCCCCAGTTGGATCTCAGCAGACCTCTGCTGTGGCAGAAAAAGTACAGGAGCCCAAGAAGAAGGCCTCTAAGAAAAAGACTGAGCCTGGTAAGCAGATATGTTTTAGAGATATTCATTTATCATTTTGCAGTTGTAACTGAACATTTCGTTTTTTTTAAATGATATATCTCATGTTATAGTTATATTTCTGAAGTGATTAAAGATTACACTGTCTCTCCAAAATGTTTTCAGCTTGGGAAAAGAATAATAAAGATAGCTCATCCGTTTTTAGACTGTCTGTAGAAGCTTGAAGGATGTCACATAACCTGTAGAGCGACTGTGGCCGCTATGACAAAATCACTGCACAACTATATACTATCTTTGGGTGTTAGATGCTTGTTTTTTGGTCTTGGCTAAGCCCGCTGCCACACTTCCTTTCCCGTTAAACCAGTCATCTTTTGTTCAATGCACTGTTCGAGGACTGGCGTAGTCCACACCAGTGCTTCTGCAAATGAAGCTTGCCCACAAACCCTTCACTGCATATCAAGGAGCAAAGCCACTGTAGTCTATCAATATGTTGTTACTCTAGAACGACCATTGTTAAAATTAGCTTGCGTGGAAACGGTTATCTAGGCAGGAACTTCATTAGCCATAACACTGGTGATAGTATTCAAGTGTTTGGAGGTCGAGTGGGGGCATGTCTGTACAGTTGCATGTCGATACACTCACAATCTAAGGCAGTAATGCCCTGTCGGTACTGATGAACTTCTAGCAGGAAGCGTGGAAAGTAGTGCCAATGGCTGTTGTGGGTAATGTCTGGCACTCGGCTCTGGAGGGCATAGAGCACGCCAGCTTGTCCAAACACCACTGCCCTGTTTTGTTAGCTGACAAAGGCTCTCAGTGCCCTTACAATGGGTAGGGAGGGGAGTGGGGTTCTCTCTTGCCCAAGGCTCGTCTCCGCCTGGTGCCACAGGGCCCCATCATTTTGCCATCCGAAGCTGCCCACTGTGGCAGTGTAGGTATTCAGACTTCACTGCGACAGCCTGAGCTTCAAAATGGTCCGGCTTTTTACTGTTAAACATGAAATAACCTTATATTGTGCCACTTTTAATCAGCGTTTCCTTGTCATTTCTTGTGTTTGCCTCTTTAGTGGCAGTGGTGGATTCTGCTGACGCTCCTCTGTACCTGCCCTACAAGGCTCTGGTGTCCACCATCGGTAGCATGGTGTTCAGTGAGGTCGAGGCTCATAGGCTCATCGAGATCCTGTCTGAGAAAGTGGGCATCATTCAGGACACCTGGCACAAGGTAATGGACGCTGCAGTCAGTGATGAGGACCCTTGCTAAACTAGCTGGAGTGTACAGGCACTCGCTCACTGAATGCATACTGTATTGCACTTGAAGGGAGACCCACTTTGTTTTTGCTGTCTTTCTGTGTACGTCTGCATTTTCAGGCCTCTCAGAAAGGAGACCCAGTGGCCATGCTGAAGAAACAACTGGAGGAGAAGGAGAAGCAGCTGATGGCAGAACAAGAGGATGCTTCTGCAATAAAGAATCGCCTGAGAGAACTCACCAAGGTCAGACGCACACTTGTCTATAGCTCTGGTGGCAGCCCCATGAGACTCCTAATACTTATTGCATCAGAAGACAAAGTCGTTGCATAGATGAAAATCTTTGCTTTTATTAGATCCTTTTCACTGGTTAGGTAAAAAGTGTAGTTTGGCCTGCAGGTGGCAGTGGAGGAACAAACCAATGTAATTACCTAAATTAAAGGGGTTCATTTTCTGAACACCGTGCACAGACATTTGCAGACCTCTTCATCTTTTGTCCTGAAGGTGGCACTAGAGGAATGTAACTGCAAGACACAGGCCACGTCCATTAAAAAGCATTGAGGACTCCCTCAACTTCAATGTAAATCACCTCTTGTAATATCTATGGAAGCCTACGAGTGACGGAAGAAGAAATGATCCACCGTTAGGGTCGCAGCAAATTTCACAGAAATATGTCTTACATGTATTGCTTTCCACATTTCACTTTTTTCTTGATGTGTTGTTGGCATTAGAGGAAAACGGCTCTTTGTTCTTTGGCCTCAGAATTTGAATCTGCTCTTACCGTGCTTTCTGTTTTTTTTTTTTTTTGTTTTTTTTTTTAGGATCTGTCTTCTGAGAAGTCGAAGGTGGCCAGTGTGGAGACGAGGCTGAGTTCCCAGCTGAGTAAGAGGGAGCAAGAAATGATTGCTCTGCAAGCACGCATGCAGGCTAGTTACCAGGACCATGTGGCGCAGACCCAGGAGCTCAATGCTAAGGTCGGTTCTGATACAAAAAATACTACAATTTCTTAATGTCTAAATCAGATGAGTGCATTTCAGTTTGCATTTTGTCCTTCTATTTCACTCCTGGTCATTTAGCTGCTAATTCAAAGTGAAAGTGCAGTTTTTCTTTTTATTAAGTTGTCTTGACAAGGATTTGAAGCAGCTGTCCATGGGGCAAGAGTCCAACATGGCTTGTTGACTTAAAAAAAAAAAGCTGTAAAACTATTTTACAGAATGTCAGCCTGCAGGACCAGTTGGAAAAAGGCCCCAATGCCCAGCTGGCCCGTCTACAGCAGGAGAACTCCATTCTTCGCGACGCCCTCAACCAAGCCACTAGTCAGGCTGAGAGCAAGTGAGTGTTTCCCTGCAACAGTAAATGAGAAGCGGCGATACATGCTGAGATTCATTTTACCTCTTCATACTGATACTGATTAAAGTGATCATTGAGTACAGTGTGTACAAATTCAAAGGTGTGTTTGGAGCACCAAGCCTGAAGATTTGCCCTGACTTGCTCTCCCTGCATCTCTCCTTCTCTGTCTCTTGTCTTTCGTTCTGTCCTCAGGCAAAACGCGGAGCTGGCCAAGCTGCGTCAGGAATGCACGAAGTTAACCAAGGAGCTTGGAGAGAAGACGGATGGTCTGCTTGCTGATGATCACGTCAGGAAAGGGCTAGAAGCCAAGCTCTCTGCTACAGAGAAGCAGCTCTCCCTGCTGCAGGTTGGCCTGGCCTGTGGGAACACCACATCATATCTCTTATAAATTACATTGGACGTGATCAAGTTTCCGCATGGAAAATAAATGTTTTACGTCTTTTTATTTTCTTGTTTGAGCAGCCAGTTAGCTTGCATTTTGTAACTAAGACCTTTCCCGCCTGTACACCTACCCTCTCATGAAGTGTAATTACCTTGTAATCACGTAGCTCGGGATTGGGTTGGAATGAAGCCATACAATAATGGCGCTGCAGGGTAAATGCTTCTCTGCAGCACCAGCTGGAATGTGTGCGTGTCTGAGCACCTCTTCTCTCCGGCCCTCTATAGAAGGCTGTGAATGTGCAGCAACGGTCTAACGGTATTTACACCACGGGGCTTTCAGACATGCGGTACATCCCTGTCTTACATTATCTGTTCATTTGCAGTTGTCGAAAATATATATATATATATATATATATATATATTTATTCAACTATTACAGGTTGTGTGGAGCAAGTGAGTCAGCACTTCCTGTCACTGAAGTGTTCCTTTTAGTTAATCATTTACTAACATGCGTCCCAACAGTTTATGGTCTTCAAACATGTTATGCAATGGCTCCGGCCGTCAGTCAATGGACATGCTCAAATGATGCAAGATGGTTCTAATTTCTTTGAGTTGAGTTTCGCTCCCTTTGTGAAATGAGTTGCTGGACTGTCATAAACAATGAGCTTCTTTGACCGAGTCTGTCATAGAAGCATAGGCAGGCTAATCATCTCAAGATCCTCTCTAGTTCAAAGCACTTTCCACAAGACATTTCCCTAAAAAAATTCTAAACAAATTGCTTGACTTGTATTTCGTCTCTTTCCCCGAATGTGTCGCCGTATGATATTTTAACAGAAATGCACAGGATTCTGTCTTGTGAATCAATGCTGCCAAGTAGGCTCCTTTTGTGAATCTTTACTGACCCCTGCTGTTTGCCACATCTTGATGATTGTCGTCGTTGTTAGGCCAGCCATGGGGACAGCGAGCAGGCGTTGCAGAGGAAGCTGGAGGAGGTGTGCGAGGAGCTCAGGGCTTCACAAAGCAGAAACAGTAGTCTGCAGGCCACTTTGGACAATGCCCAGCAGGACAGCAGCGCACTCTCAGGTCAGTTAATGGGGGACAGAGTCCGAATGGTTACCAGATGTTAAGGCTTAGGAGTTGACCTTGTAATAGTAAAAATGTATATGGGAGTCAGCTATATCACAGGATATCAAATATAGAATAGGTTGTGAGTGCTGTGATTTGTCCCTGCAGAGTATCAAGTGCGTATTGGGAGCTTGGAGGCTGATGTCGGTGAGCGCTCTGCTCAGGTGGATGCCCTCACTGCCCAGCTGGAGGAGACGCAGACAGAGAAAAGCCAACTTGTACAGCAGGTGGCCTCCATCAACTCACTGCTAGAGGCCAATCAGACCAAAAAGGAGGAGGATAACGACCAGGTAGGACATACTTAGCTAGTTTGACTTTTCTGAAATGGCCGTGAACACCCCTAAGCATGTTTGCTGTGTCTGATTGAGCAGGTGAATGCTGCAGAAGTGGAACAGCTAAACCTCAGGTAAGTGTTTTGAGCCACCTCTCTTCAGAGTCGACATCAGCTCCAGAGCTGTTCCACGTATTGATTGAAATGTTGTGCCTTCTGCAGCCTTCAGGAGAGAACCAACCAGTTGAACACTCTTCACGAGGAACTGAAGCAACTGCAACTGAAACAGGAAGCTGCTGTAAGTGTTGCAAACACCTGTCGTTGGATGTATGAACAAATAAAATCACTTCTCGATTATTCAGGAAAAATATATATGTATGTTTTGCTACTAATCAAAAATAATCTGCTGTTTTTACAGGTGAACACTATTGTTGAGCTCGAGGAAAGAAATAAGAGGTATGGTTGTTGTTACTGTCTATGTATTTGACTCAAATCTCATGGATTATTACTCTGCTTATTTATAGTTTATCCAATTTATGTCCCTTTATAGTGAGGATGTCGCTCTTATTGCATCACTTCAGGATGAACTTAAAAACCTCAAAGAAGAGATGGTGCAACTTAACAACACACCAGTAAGTGTACCTCTTGATGTGTAAAGAGCCAGGCAGGAGCAAAATGTATTTCTCAGTGACTCATTTGCATGTCCACTTTTTTTTTTTTTCAGCAGTCAGATACCTCCGAAGAGCTGGGACTGCTACAGAGAAGGTAAATGGGTCTTGGCATATGAAAAAAAACATCAGTCTGGCATATTGTTGGGTCTGTTTTAGATCTCAGTTTTGACTATTTTGTTTATTTGGCTAGCCTGACTGAGAAGGATGCCCTTGTCACATCAGTACAAGAGGAGCTGAGAGAAGTGAGAGAAAAGACGGCCATTGATGCGGTAAGGCTCTCTTTACACACTAATGGCTTATAAATTGAGACAGCTTTCCGCTTAATCACCTTCCTGATTATATCATCCGTTGTTTCATCAGAGCGTTATGGCAGAGCTGACAGCTTTTCAAAGTGAAACCAAAGAAACTCTCCAGACACTCTTCCCAGAGATACCCGTAGAGACGGAGCAGGTGGGAACAGAGCTTTTCAGGAGGAGTTGCTGAATCATTTATTTCCTGATGTTGGTCATTGTTCAGTAGAATAATGTGCGCATTAATTATTTATTTCTGTTTTTTTCCCCTCACTTAGTCCAACTGGTTACAAGTATTTACACAGAAGGCTCAGGAGACTCTCAGCCAGCAGAGCCAGGAGTCTCAGTCAAGCACAGCGTTGCCTGTAAGCCACAATTTTATAGACTTGCTTACCGAATACTTAGCCCAGCAGAACAGGTTCTGAATGCGTTTTCTTTGTCTCAGGAGTTGCTCGGGAAATTGAAGGAGGCTGAGGAGGGCCATGGCTCACTGCAGGCTGAATGTGAACAGTACAGGATAGTCCTGGCTGAAACCGTAAGTGATTGGGGAAACTTCAGTTCAAACTTTAGTGTAAAATAGGGGGTGAATTTAATCCGCTCATTTCGTCCCGTTTCCTTCAGGAAGGAATGCTAAAACATCTGCAGAAGAGTGTGGAGGAAGAAGAGCTGGTATGGAAGTCCAAGATGGCTAACTCAGCGGAACAGCTGAGTGTGGTATGTTATAAGACGTCCTTGAAATCACTATGACTTTGTACTTTTTTTTCCCACCACGTGCGGGTCCCCTTTCCATGTTTTTAAAACCTCATACTCGTCCCTCTCACACATTACCAGGCTTTGGAGAAGGCCAGCAAGCTGGAGGCAGAAAACCAAAGTGTAGAACAGGTGAAGATTTCTCTCACACTCGCACAAATTGCCCCTTGATGCAAGCCAGCAGGTAATAAATGTGTAAACCGCTTTATTTTGTTTTGTTGTTGCAGTTGAAGGAGCAGATGATGCTTCTGGAAGCCCAGCTGGAGAAGCAGTCAGACAACCAGGAGACCTCAGAGGAGATGGAGCAGGTACATGAGCAGGTTCAATCTATAGATCACAGCAGCCTCACTAGATCTAGCACTGCTCCTAAAAAATGTTGTAGTATTTGTATGTGCAAGTTCCCCTATTACTTATTAGGACTTTTTTTTTTTTTACATTAGCATATAAGCATTTTCTATATTTGTATTAATTGTTATAATATTTCAACATCACAATCGATGAGTCCCATGTTTTTTCTTGTTGTACAACATTTTGGGGCAATTATATTTTGGATAAAATTTTATTATTTGATAAGATTTGTCTAGTTAATGAGATTTAGAAATGGTCAATGTAAAGAATTAGCAATCCATGCTTAATATACTGAAATCCTAGAGAGACATTTCTCATATTTAAAGGTATCGACCTATTTAAAACAAAACCTGTGATAACTGTGTCGACGTGCTCTGTGTTCAGCTGAAGCTGCAGCTTTTGGAGCGTCAGAGCCAGCTGGATTTGGCCCAGAAGGAGACCCAGGCACACAAGGAGGAGCTTTCACAGGTGACTTTACTGACAACCTGCTTTCCCGGGACGACATTATTTACACAGTCATATACCAGAGTAGCCGAGGTGAGAGGAAGACATGGTATATATGAGACATCGAGGAATTTGTGGAGATTCCTTTTTAACCGACACAACCAACAAAATACGGTGTCGGTGACGTGTAACACAAAGAGGATTCATGGATGGGAGGTTATGTAACCAGTGACGGCTTCCTGTTTCAGGTCAGAGAGCAGCTGGGCGAGATCACGATGCAGGCTCAGCGAGAACAGAATGGCCCAGCTGAGGCTCAACCCAGTCAGGTCAGGGTGCAAAGATCGCAGGGCACCCTTCACTTCCTGTCAGAGAGTACTGGACAGTGACTAGGACACTTCTTCTAGGATATCATTTGTTCTACTACTTAACTAAGCCTTATTTAATTTAGTATAAAATCCCAAAGTAAACGTATTGATTTGTTGCGCTGTATTTATTAAGACGTGTTCTTTGTAGTCTGGTTTGACACATTTGGTCAAACCCATGTCGTAAATCAAGGATGTGGCTACAGTACACGGATACATACATGACCCTTGCAAGGCTTCAAGTCTGTCCAGTATTCCTCCGACACAGCGGCTGTTTATGCTAACCACTGTTTGCATTTACTGAGTCGACATAACTCTAACCACTGCTTTTTCTCACCTTTTTAAGCATGCTCACTGCTCCTTTGTTTGTACGATTCTTAACATCAGCAGAACGTTTGCGTTTGACTTGAGCCTCTCTCCTGAAATAGAGAGAGGCTCATAGGTCGAGCAGCTTGTTTGTGTATGTGTGGGTTTGTAGTGCCACTGCTTTTGCACAAGAATGTTTGCATAGACACGTATGCGTTAGCCTGTTGTCTCTGTGTATTTATTGTGTGTGTGTGTGTGTGTGTGTGTGTGTGTGTGTGTGTGTGTGTGT